GCTTAGGTCTGTTATTCATTGAAACATTAAATGTTATGTTGTGATATGTTATTTAGGAATGATATTAGGCATACCTACTCCATAGGTGTAATGAACCAGTGCTAAGTCTCTGTCAGGAGGGTATTGCTGTACTGGTATTGCCAAAAACAAAGTTGTGGATCTTGACTGTTTTAATCTGTACTGGCTTAATTTCAGTCTGGAGAGTTTTTTGTGTGAACTGCGTTTGACAGATTTGCTGTGAATTTTGCATCTGATGATGTTTAGCCTCTAGCTACCTAATGAAAATGCTCTGTCATGAGTAGTATTTGAAATTCATCATTGCTGAGGATGCATCTATAAGTTTATACAGTCTGCAGAGTTACATTGAGTTCCAGCTCATTCCAGCTCCAGAGTTCCAGCTTCATTAGTTTTCTGTGTGCCACAGAGAAGCATGGCAAAATATTTCCAGAATAATTTTCATAATGCTGTCAATTGAGACCACGTGTAATTACAGTTTTTCTTTGGGCAACACCTGAGTGTGGAGCCTGTGGTTCTGCACTGTTTTCTTCCAGTTCTTGCTCCTAATAATTATATGCACTTTAGATTCCAGTCTTGAGCCTCATAAAAGTAGCATTGCTTGGTGTCTGGTGCATTTGCTTTGCCTTCCCTCCCCACCCCCTGCCCCTACCTTCTTTTTTATATATATATTTTTTTTCTTTTTCCTTGGTGGCTTTCTTTGTGATTCTCTGCTAAAGCTGTACCAGGTGACAACAAAGAAACCTTTGTCTAGGCTTCTGTAGATTTCACACTAGGTTATGCTGAGTTATTATATAAGGATACTGTAAGTTGTGGGTACTGAATTTTCTAAATGAACTGATTGACTTAATATGGGCTTGGAGAGCCCATAGTGGAATGTACCTAAAAGGAACAACAGGGAACAAACATGCATATTTTTAAATGCAGATGCCAAAACTGCAATTCAGAATATTTACTAAATCCCACGGAGAAAAATTGCATTTGAAATTTATGTTATAAATTAAATGGACAGATTGACTAGTTGATCAACTAATGTCAAGACCTACTTAAACTAAACTCCAGTATATAAACTGTGAGTTATGACAATTGTCTTTCTTTGAAATAGTGCAGGTGCCAAGGTTTGTGAAGTGTTTGTTAGGTAGGAAATAAGGAGAAGCAGGCCTAGCTACAGAATAAATTTACAGTGAAGTTAATCCGTTAATTTCTTCAAAAGTGAAGCTCTGCTAAACTCGTCTTCAGAGGTAGTCACAAACATGTCCCAAATGTAGAACTCTGCAGTGAAGAAGGGAGAATAAATCTAAAATGAGAATTGTGGTTTTTTTGTGTATAAGTTTACGGAGAGAAACTGCATCAACCAGTGGAGATTGCTTTTTTTTATTTTTTTCTTCAATATAGAAGAGGCTGTGGAAATGAGGGACTCCCAGCTCATGGGGAACAATGCCCAAACCCAGTATGGCACAGAACCTCCTTGTGTTGGATTAGAGAATTATCCTGTGTGTAATGACGCTTTTTCTTCCTCCTAGACCTCTGTCTCCTTAAAAGTATCTCCTGTAGTTTCAAAGGCAAAAAATCCAATCATGACAGAGATTTTTCTAAACTAATAACTTTGATCTATTTGCCATCATCTATGGTCCTATATAATTCTGGAGTTCAGCTGTTCTTTTCCTTAATTGTGTATTTTTGATATGAATCATTCTTTTGACAACATCTTCCAATTTAACCTGAAGTAACATGCTGCAGATGTCATACAGGGGAATTTGTGCCTTTGATTTCTACAAGGAGTGATCAAAGTGTCTAATTACCCTGGCTTTAGCTAGGTTAGAGTTAATTTCTTCTCAGTAGCTGTTACGGTGCTGTGTTTTGGATTTGGTATGAAATGATGTTGATAACACACTGATGATTTGTGTTTTGCCAAGTTGTGTTTATACTAAGTCAAGGACTTTTTTCTTCTGCTTATCTTATGCTCTGCTGGTGAGGAGATGAGCAAAACAATCTGGGAGGGAGTGTAGCTGGGAAAAATGACCTGAACTGACCAAGGGGATATGCCACACCATAAAACATCATGCCCTATATGTAAACTGGGACAAATTACTGAATGGGTGGCTGATCTGCATTCAGAAAGGGTGGTCTGGCATCAGTCAGTGGGTAATGAGCAAGTGCATTGTGCATCACTTATTGTTTCCTTTTTGTAACCATTATTATTTACCTTTGAAAATAAAGTAAAATACAATAATAATTATTAATAAATAGTTTTAATTGAAACGTACAAGTTTCACAGCAATTCTTCTTCCCAGTCCATTTGGGGTGGAGGGGGAAGAAAGAGGGAAGCTGATGTAGCAGCTGTGTGATATGTAGTTTCCATCTGGGCTTAAATCACAGCAGACCCCTTCCTGGGTTTTGGCACCAAAAAGACTGTAGTGGGTTGACCCTGACTGGATGACAGGCTCTCACCAAAGCTTCTCTATCACTTTTCTCTGCACTTGGATAGGAAAGGCTCATGAGATAAGGACAGAGCGAGATGACTCACCAAATGCCATCATGGGCAAACCAGGCTCGAATTAGAGATATTAACTGAATTTACTGTTAACAAAATGAGAGCAGGCTAATGAAAAATAAAGTTAGACCTTAAATATACCTTTCTCCACCCCTACGTTTTTCCCAGCTCTACCTTCTCCGTGCCAGCAATTAACATCAATTGACGACAAATTGTTTTTGCTGATGTTCAGGGAGAGTCGTCTTTCCCCTGCCTCTAGCATGAGATTCTTCCCATGGAAGACAATGTTCCACAAACCCTGCTGTGAATCCATCCCAGAGGCTACAGTTCTCCATGAACTGCTGCAATGTGGGTTGATGTTCTGTGGGTCCTTTGAGAGCAGCCTGCTCCAGTGTGAGTCCTCCATGGGGTCATAAGTTTTACTAGGAAACCTTCTCCCTCCTCTGCATGGATCTGCAGGTCCCTGCCAGGAGCCTGTTGTGGCAAGGGCCTTCCACAGGTTCACAGCCTCCTCTCAGGCATCCATCTGCTCCAGTGTGGGTGTCCTCCATAGGCTGCAGGATTTCTGCGTCGCTGTGGTCATCCATGGGCTGCAGAGGGACAGCTGTTTCTCCATGGTCTGGACCATGGATTGCAGAGGAGTCTCAGCTCCCATGCATGAAGCACCTCCGCCCCCTTCATCTCTACTGACCTTTTATGTCTGCAGAGTTGTTCCTCTTGCGTATTCTCACCCTGCTCTTCTCTGGCCAAAATTATATCTGCACGATAACTTTGTTCTTAAAAATTTTATCCTAGAGGCATTACTATCATTTTTGATTGGCCCAGCCTTGACCAGTGGTGGGTGTCTTGGAGCTGGCTATCAATGGAGGAAGCTTCTATCAATTTCTCACAGAAGCCAGTGCTGTAGCCACCCTGCCCATCAAAGCCTGGCCATGCAAACCCAATATACTGTGAAACACTGTATACAAATCAGTTTAATTTCTCAAATGTTTCATCCCCTGTTTCATACTTCCAAGGATGTGGACTAGTAGATTAATTCTCTCACTAATTTCTGCTGTTTAATACACCTTACCATTGGAAAGTTTTTCTTGAAAGTCCAGACTAAGGTTTATTCCTGTAGTCTCTAATTCATTGTTTATGGATGTAAGTGAATTATCTTGGCTTTACACTGTGAGTAAGACCAACAATATTTCCTGAAGCTATTCTTAAGATTCAGCTGTGAACCCCCAGTAGCCTCAGAGCCCCTAGACTGCTCAGTGTGGTCAGTTGTTGCGATCTGTGTTCCTGAGGACTTCTGTGGAGTTTTGGATAGGCCCATGTGGAAACTGTACTTGACAATTCTCATTGATTTTTACGACTGTTCTTGTGCCTGTCATGGAGTTGTGTTGTAGTTACTTTTGGAGTCAGTAAACCTTTTTCCTAGAGCCATGTTGAGTTGCTTAAAGCCACGAAGAAAGCTTGTGATACCTCTTCATGTTACCTTGTGCATTGCACCATGTTGGGAAACTTTTTCAACTGACGTATGGGTGGAAAGCTCAGCACAGGTGTTAGTGTTGAATGCAGGCTTATTTGCAGTATTTTAAGGACAGTAAGGTGAAAGTGTGTAATGAAAATGAAGAAATGTGAAGAGCATTTGGAGGTTTTCATGGTCTGGTGAAATGTATTTTTATTTCTCAACAAGTAACTGATATTTCCAAAAAGTCTGCCAGTGAACATGTGTGTTGTTCTGCACCTTCTAGTAAAGATAATGACTGTCAAAGGCTTTTGGTAGCCTCCTCTGTTTTTCTACCTAAATATTTCCTAAGTTATAGAAGCCATAAAATAGCCATTGCAAATACTGTATTGACTTTTTGATTCTGTCCCCAGTTAGAAATTTCATAATTGCATTGTATTTCAATATGATATTTCAGCTACTGTGGAAATAATGCTACTTTAAACTAGTGTATATTTCTTATGCAGAAATGAAACAAAGGGATTTTTAAGTTATCTTTAACTAAATTGGCTACTGTGATAGAGTATCTAGGCTATGTTTAATCAGTTTAAACTGAACCAATGCTAGTTTTTACATTGATAAGAGCTTAGAATGGGTACATAGACATTAATCTGTATTTCCTCTTAAAAGATAGAGAAAGTTACAGAAGGAGTTGTGAAATTATGATAAAAAAATGAGTGCAGTGGCCTTGTCCTGATATGGATGAGGTTCCTCACATTCTGTCGTCTCCGACACTTGAGAGTGGAAAGCTTATGCTATAGAACAAGAGCAGGGACAAGAGAGTGAGAGCACTTTTGTGTTACTGCTATTATACTGCTAAATGTAACATGGCTGTTAAATTGTACTATATACAAAAGTATACTATTAAATTATTTTATATATATATACACTATGATATGTAATAACACTGTTATTTTTATTTTTAATTTATTTATATTTCCCTTAAAATTATGACTCAAAAGCTGAGTGAAGGTCTGATGTTATTCTCCTTGCTTCCAGCCTCAAGAAGCAGCTTCAAGGTCTCACACCTTCAAAAATAAGTCATTTAAGAAATCCAGTATCTGTGGAATCTGCAAACAAGTAATTGATAGCCAAGGAATTTCCTGCAGAGGTGAGTAATACTTTCTTGCTCTGTTAAGAAAATCAGTTTTATATTAATGTTAAGTTTCTAGGAATACATGTTTCTGGTAATTCCCCTTGAACTAAGTTACCTTTGGTTTATTTCCTTCTTTTGTGCAGTAATGTTCCCTGCTACTGCCAGGGAATAGGGTGCTGTAGTTGGCAATTGGACTTGTATAATCAGGTGCTTTTACTACTAGGCTATTCAGGCAGAATGAGGCAGTGCCTTCGAGGATCTGTGAGGGGCATAGTGACTGTGTGCAGTGGATGACACATGGCTCTGGAATTCAGCCTACAAATGAGGAAGTGTGTGACCCTTGCTCCCTGAGACATGGAGGATTTATCTGTTAATTTGCAAAAAAAAAAAAAATCAAAAAAAAATCACAAGAGCAGTTGTCTATTTACTTAATTTTTCCATTTTCTTTATTCTCTATGTAATCCTTAGTCAGTCAGTTTAATCACTCACAAAGAATAAAGATCTGGATAACATAGTCTAGAGACTTGCTGCCTGCGGCATTGCTGCCTGCACCTTACTGCTGTTCTCCCTCAGTCTTCTCTCTTGCTGTGTAGAATTGCACATGCTTTCCTCTTCTCCATGGGATACCTGTGATAAAATTGAATATTGGGAAAACTTAATAGGTCTCTTCTGCAAGTTGTCCAGGGATAGGGGTTTTGATCCCCTGGTTCTGTCTGGTTAATGTTTGACTCCTATTAATTCTGTGTTAATCAAACAGTTTCTGTAACTGCTATATGCATGGTTGACTTCCCAGAACGAGAATGTTATTGTCTGTTCATCCAAAAAATAGTTGCTGTTTTCACTTAGAGGTGTTTGCATCGACTTCAGATTCTTGTTGGATCTCCTTCTTCCATCTCCCCCCTTCCGTGTTCTTCAGACACCTTATGAGCCCTCTGAGGGTTTGAGAGGGAGGTGTGAGAGGATATGGAAGGAATGTGGCCATTTTTTGAGATACAGTGCAGTCTGCAAGTGAACAGCTATATATTAAGTATTTTAGCTGTCATCATAGGAGTGGCAATTATGTATACATTTCTTTAAATTTTTTTCCCATCTGTCCTTCTGGATGTTGGTTCCAAAGTTCTTAGAATTTAGTTGTTTTCAATTTAGCAGAAATAGTATTTTTGGAAGGAAGGCTGTTTAGTGAAGGAACTGCCTAAAGTGTAAAAAGTACTGTACCAAGAGAGAACCAGAACTTTGATTCATAGAATTATTTAGGCGGGTAAAGACCTCATTGAATGCAAGTGATAACCCATCACTTCCAAGGATAACACTAGACCATGTCCTAAAGGGCCACATCTATGTGTCTTTTAAATGCCACTTCCTTCCAACACACTCCCTGTTCAGTTGCATTCATGTCTATGATGCAGCTGTATCTAAATCTAGGTCAGTTTTGGATAATCTTCTCTAGGTTTCTGGGTGCAGTTTTCAGAAGGACCCCCTTGATTTATTTATTACCTAACCTCTTTTGTTGATGTCAGCATCAGACAGACACCATTGCTCTTTGCTACTGTTACATTTTGATTGATGGTTGTTTGATGCTTAATCTGTGGGATGGGAGCAAACAGAAGTTAGACAGTGAAGAGATGATTCCAAGTAGTTTCAATTTAGTAAGAATTCATTTGTATTTTAACTTACAGCATGCAATTTATAGAACATAGTTTTGGAAAAGCAAGAACTAAAAGTTGTCCCTTTCCTTGCTAGGCTAAAAGTACTTGAAATGTATCAAATGTATCCTAGTACTCTGAAACTCTTATTAATATGAAGAAAAAGAAACTAGCTGTTTCAGAGCCAAATCCTGGTGCTGCTCTGCTGCTTCTGGTAATTCTCTCTGATGTTGCAAGTTGGCACTGCAGGAAAGGGAGGAGGAAGAAAAGCTTATAGTTAAGAAGTAGTTTATTTGTCTATTAATGAGAAAATCTTCCCTTTTAACAGTTTCTTCTCAAAAAATGAGAGCTCTTTATACAGATTGGAGATTACTAAGAATATATCTTACCAGTTAAAGGAAAGTTACATGTAAGTGAAATGAGGTAGGGGAAAGCTCCAGATTGGTCAGTATATTATATTTGCTGTTTTGTAGCAATGAATTATCTACTTGTTGTAAGAAAAAAGAAAAAAGCTGCGAGTGGGTGTTGTGTAGCTTTTTAGTAGTATGTGGTAGTCATTTTGGGGGTGTTTTTTTTACTTCACCTTGCAAATGTGGTGCATAAAAACTTGCTGTGAGCAATTTGAATGAAAGGTACCCTTGAATGGTCTCCCTTTATCCTTTCATACTTCATTCCATCCCAGCAAAGCATACTCAGTTAGTTTTTCTACAAAAAAGCAGTGGCAAAAGGGAAAGTTGAAGAAGGGGAAGCTCCTGGCTCTTTTTCTGCCTGGTAAGCATATTTGTCTTTGATACAGATTCTCATTATGAAGCAAGGACAAGCAGCTGTTGATTGATTTTGACAGTACCTGCATATCTTGCAGTAAGCCGGAGACCGCATGACTCTCCATGTCTCTTCAGCACTACCTCAAGCTTGAATGCTCTGGTTTGATTTTTCCTGAAGTCCAGTATAATTTAGTTCACTGCTACACTACCTCAAGCTTGAATGCTCTGGTTTGATTTTTCCTGAAGTCCAGTATAATTTAGTTCACTGCTAAGCAAATATACATAATAATCTTGCACATTTACATGGTTAGCAAAAGGCCACTAGAGTTACAGAAGCCTTTTGATTTTTTTTAAGCTACTTTCCCTAAATGTTGAATGTTCAGTATTTTGCCTCATTTGTAAACAAGCTGTCATAAGGATGTAATTTCTGTCTTTACATATGAATTTCCATTTTATTATTTTTCTATTTTATATCATAAGGATGTAATTTCTGTCTTTACATATGAATTTCCATTTTATTATTTTTCTATTTTATATATATGAAATAGATGTTAAGGTTTTCTTTCATTTTTCCTTTTTAAAATATTTTTTAAAAATTATTTATCTTTGTTGTGATTAAATAATTTTTGGTGTAGAACAGAGAGTTCTGAATCTCTAGATTTCCTGGCAGTTAAAAAAACTGGAGACCAGATTTGGAAGATTTGGGTCACTTTAAATAAATAAGTATAATTTCACAGCTCTTAGAACATTGATGTGAAGGGTGAAATAAGTGTGAAAAGTTCAAGCACTGCACAGATGTCTTTTGATGAAACTCCCCTCATCTCCAGTTTACAATTAAGTTACCTAGTTTAGGTTTAGCTGCTAGTGAGGCTTTACATGCAATACAAAACATTCCATGAACTACTTTTTGAATTTAAAGCAATTAATGGTTGTTTGAATGAACTGAGTATCTTTTTGTTAATCTAATGTAGCTATGAATGTGTTGGTTTTGGAAATACGTAAATTGGAGTGATTCAAATGGAAGTCCTTGTAGAATTTTACTTCCTCTGTTGTGTTTGTTTTTTTTTGTTTTTTTTTTTATGAAAACCTTTTTTCTTTTATGCTTTGACTACATTTGGGTTTTGCTTTCTTCCTTTGAAACTTCCTTACTATAAACCACGTATAAATGTTAGCCAGAGGTGCCAAATTATATTGGCATCTGCTGCTAACAGTATTGTGAGCAGAGAAATGCTTACCGTTGTATTATGTGCAAGCTGAGTGTAAAAAAAAGTACAATTCATTTTTTGGTCTTATTTCTAAGATATTATACATCTGTAAATATAAACTGTAAATTACGTTAATGTATGTTTCATTCAGTTGTTAACTGGCTTGCAGTAAGTCCTGGACTGTTTAATTGAGCTGGTTAATGACAGAAAATACCTTTTCATCAAATTGCAATATCTGTGTTTAATCAAGTGCTTTCGCATGCTTACAGACCGTAGATTAAGATTCGGAGACAACTGGAGCTATTTTTCTTGTTTAAGAGGTTTGATATTTTCCTTTGAAATACATCCACTTGTTTGTGACTCTACTGTTGCCAAAGAAATTGACTACAAAAAGTAAAATCTTCTGGGTAGTGATCCACTTAATACCTCACTTTCGGGTTAGTTGGAATTACTCAATTGAAAAAGCCCTCTATATTTAATCAAATTCATTGCTTATAGCAAGTCAAAGTTCATTTTTATATTAAGACTCATATGGAGGTGACATTTATTGTTTGGGCATACTGTGTAAGTATATTCGTATTTAATTTTACATGATTATATTGCAGGTGGTTTTATATACTCTGTTTTTCAGTAAGTGCTAAGACCAGTAGTAACTTATGAGCATCTTCATAATGTGCAAAGTGTGTCTCTTGTTATAGTCCTGGCAGACAAACTAGAAAGCTTGAAACTGAATTTGAATTGACAAATTAAAAGCTAGAATTTGTATCCTGCTTGGGCTAGTGGCATTACAATTGGCTCTAAATGGCAAAGAATGTAGTGAGGTAGGAGTGTTTGTGTCAGTCTGATTTCCATTGAGTGATCCTTGTGAAGTAAGATTCTGTAAGGTGCTTACATGGGTGTATTATGAGATCTATCTATCTATCTATCTATCTATCATCATTTTTTTAATATATATACTCTAAGTTCAACATAACTAAGCCATCTTTAGTTACTTATTGCAATGGGCATTGGTTGATTAACTGTAAGACTATTAATTATGGCAACAGGCATATCCGTCTACTCATTGCAATGTTATAATGTGAGAAGTCTTTGAGAGAATGAGAAGATCATCATCAAATTAAAAGAGATTTTCATCATATCACTATTTGCTCTGTGTGGTGTTTGTACACTTACATGTTTTCTTGAGGACTGATCCAGCAAATCGTACTGTTTTCTGTGGGACTGTTTCAAGATGGCTTTAATCTCTTGTATGTGCGATTTAGATTCACCAAGAAGCAGCAGAAAACAAACCAGAAAACCATACTATTTTCCTAAGTAATTAACTTCTAATTACCTCAAAATTTAAAGCAGGATATACAGGTTATAGGATCAAATGGCATGGTCTGTTGTTGTCCCTAGAGAAG